GTGTCCAGGGATGATGGTGCAGAAGTGGTCTGGGTGTCCAGGGTTGATGGTGCAGAAGTGGTCTGGGTGTCCATGAATAATGCATCAAGGAAAGTGGTCTGGGTGCCCATGGTTGATGTTGCAGGGGAGGTGGTCTGGGTGTCCAGGGTTGATAGTGCAGAAGTGGTCTGGGTGTCCAGGGTTGATGGCGCAGAAGTGGTCTGGGTGTCCATGGATAGTGCATCAAGGAAAGTGGTCTGGGTGCCCATGGTTGATGTTGCAGGGGAGGTGGTCTGGGTGTCAAGGGTTGATGCTGCAGAAGTGGTCTGTGTGTCCGGGGATGACGGTGCAGAAGTGGTCTGTGTGTCCAGGGATGACGGTGCAGAAGTGGTCTGTGTGTCCGGGGATGACGGTGCAGAAGTGGCCTGGGTGTCCAGGGATGACGGTGCAGAAGTGGTCTGGGTGTCCAGTGTTGATGGTGCAGAAGTGGTCTGGGTGTCCAGGGATGATGCTGCAGGGAAGGAAGCCTGAGTATCTATGCTAAATGCTGCAAGGGAAGAGGTCTGGGTCTCCAGAGCTGACGCTGTAGTGGAGGTGATCTGAATATCCAGGGCCGATGCTGCAGTACAGGTGGTCTGTGTCATCCCTGTTTCTGCTGCAGGAGAGATGGTCTGAGTGTCCCCGGAGTTGACCTCTGAACTGGTACTGGTGGCAGCTAAAGTGTTAGAAGCAGTTTCAGCACTCAGAGTTTGAGCGTCTAGAGAAACGTACTGTATAAGGTCAGTGGTCTGGAAAGCCCCCGCTGAACTGGGCCTGTCCGTGTGAGTGAAGGCAGGCACTTCAGTGTTGTTCATTGTCACCACAGGAGCGGAACTGCCGATGCTCAGGCCTGTGTCGGGAGGGAACAACTTAGTGAGTCCCGATAGGCTGACTTCACATGGGTGTTTGCACTTATGCCCTGGGTGCTGCTGGATGGCACATTGTCTATATAAACAAAGATGAAGAAAGCAACACAGAGAAGTCTTGGCCTCCATGGCAGCTCTGAAGACAGCCGCCCTGGCTAGTACTCTCTGAAGTCCTGATAACCCACTGAGACCAGGCAGCCCCAGGGTCTCTGCTGATCACTGGGATGGAGGGCACTGTGGCAGCATTATGCCATCAAGGGTGGGCAAAGGAGACACACACCCACATGAGCCAAGAACTGCGGAGCAGGAAGAAGGACTTCCAGAATGTTCTGTAGAACTTTGTCATTCCTCCATGGGTAATTTGCTCACCCTCAAAATATTTTCCTGTGGAAGTATTTCCTTAAAATTCAAGAACGACCTGCAGTCTCATCTTTAGAGGTAACAGGTAGAAGGGAGAGGAGCCCCAGCCTGAATGTGATGTGTCCTAGGAAAGCAAGCAGTCAGAGAGCCCAGGACAGCTCACTTGGGTAAGGAGAGAGATCGGGTGGGCACACGAGCACACCTAGCCTCCCTGTGCTCACTTAGTCAGTCCAACCACACACTCACACCCACGTCTGCAGGAGTTGCTGATTGCCATCTCCACAGACCTCCCCCACTCCGGTCCAAGCTCTTTCTCGGAGCCTCCTGGTCCACGGAACCCACCCGGGTCATAGGATGTTGTTGCATTCCTCCAAACTGGGGGTGAGGAGAGTGTGGGGGCAGAGCTAGCTTTGAGTCCCACCTCTGCTCCTTGTTCTGCTGTGTACTAACTGTGACACAAGCCAAGCCTCTGGGCTCCGGATGGAGCGAGGGACACCTGATTTGTGGGGTTGGACGGTTGCAATTAAACAGGATGAAAAGTGCAGTATAAGTCCCGTCAGTTGTGAGTGTGCGTGACAGGCAGGGTGGGCCAGTGGTTAGGCGCTGACAGCCTGTGCTGGCTCAGGGGATAAATTACTCCCTGTGAACTGCAGGCTCCTCGCCCTTAAGGTGGCAGTACTGGTCTTAGAGATGAGTGCCTGCCCTTAAAGTTATGAGAATTTTAAAACGTAATGTTGAACCAGTCAGTTTACATGTGGGTAAAGGTGCTTGCCACCAAGCTTGATGACCTGAGCTTAAGCCCCAAGCTGTCACCTGGTCATCTGGTCACCTGATCATCTGGTCATCTGGCCTCCACACATGTGTCGGGTCCTCATAGTCTCTATGTGTGTGTGTGTGTGTGTGTGTGTGTGTGTGTGTGTATCAAATCAACCTCAGACCTCCACATACAATGTTCACACACGGTCAAACACATGTGAGTCCACATATGTGTAAAAACATTCTCACATACAGAGAAAATGGAAAATGGGGAAAAGAAATAAATACATACATACAGAAAATCTGTATAGCAAGTTGCAGGCAGCCAGAGCCCTGCCTAGGGAGACTCAGTCAATGAAGAAATAAGTAGAATCAAAAGGTACTGTCTAGTGTGGGGTGCCCGTGTGGGGCCATCACTATGACAACGCTGATGCTGTGGGGCACAGTGAAATGATCACCAGCTGGCAACTCCCTGCCCCCTCTACCCTCCCACTCCACTGACCCACGCCTGAGACTAACTCCCACACTCTCTTACAGGGATAGCCGGAGTCACCACGCCCATCTGACACATCTGCCATCCTGCACACTCGTCCACAGCCACAATATTTTACATTCAGCAGCCCATTAATTGCAAATTAACAAAAATGCCTACCCTTGCCCGCAAAGGACTGCCTTTGCCAAAACTCACACCTAAAGCCCTGTCGGGGAGGAGCCCTGGGTCCCGTCCTGTCCCTTACCTGCAGAGCTGGTAGCGACTCCAGCCTTCCAGCAGAAGAGAAGGAGAGGCACAGTTAAGCCCCAGAGAGAGCCCATCTTGCCGGGCACTGACCACCGCTGCCTGGCAGAGCTGCCCACTGCCTCTCTGCACCACTCTTTCCTGCTTCCTCAACCCAGGGAGGAGGGGCAGCCGCCTGCCCAGGTGTGACTGGGCAGGTTCCAGGATGCAGCCAGGTGAATACAGACCTGCAGCGAGGGCTGACCCAGGCTTGCCCTCCTACCCCCACCCCGCCCCCTTGCCTGGCAGCCTTGCCTCTCTGATTTGAAGATACAGCATCATTTCCATTCTGTTAGCCTCCCCTGCAACTGGGAAGGGCATGGGAGAGATGATGTTTACCCCACTCACCCATAACTGGGCTCTGGGTTTAATGAGCCGGCCCCGAGTTTCTCTGCTGAGCCTAGATTTTGTTGGCTCTAGGGATCAAGGGCAAATGAGACAACCTTTCTGAGCCTTGACTTTTTGGTCTGTAAAATGGGTATGCTCTCTTACGCAGGAGGCCTTTAAAGTTCTTACAGAATGTCGCCTGTACATTGCTGGTGCTCACAGAAAATACATACATCGCAGATGCTCAAGGCATAAGTGGGAGCGCTTCTCCCCCACCAGCAGATGTGAGTGTTCCTGGGGTCTCCAGGGGATAGTGTTCCAGAACGGGAGCAGGACGCTCACTTCTAATATCTTTCTATTTTCAACATCCTGGGACTTTGCCACCACGTCAAAGCCGGGACCACATGCCCAGCCAGGCTTCAGATACCAGGATGTGGAGGGTGCCGTGCTATTCTGAGTGCCATTGTGAGGGAGATGACTTAGGGACACATCCCTCGAGGGCCAAGGCCAAGGGCTCCTACGGCCACACCTGGGGGCCAAAGCTCCTCGGAGATTCTAAGTAGGTGCTTTTGGATGAAAGCAGTTCCGTGATGGAGCAGACATGATGGCGGTCACAGACTCACAAAAGTCGGGACTAGAAAGAAGGATACAGTTTAAAACTGTGTCAGAACATCTGTCCTGTTTCCAGCTCTGTCCTTTAATGGTGGGTAAGAAGCCGTGTGGTCTTAGACAAGTAGCTTGCCCACTCTGGGCCTTAGTCAAGAAGAGTTCTGAGGGTGCAGTCTGGGTTTCACTGCCGGATATGTGACTCCACCGTCCAGAACTTTAGTCCATACTGAGGTGACAGGCTGTGTGGCCTGCGAGGAAGAGTTGTCATCATCTTGTGGTATATCAGCCTCTTCAGAGGAGAGTGATGGAGACTGTGGAGCCACCCGCCACTTGGAGTGTCTTGGGACCAGTCCCATGAACACACTCTGTTGGCGAGCCTCTTCCTCTTCCATTTCCCTACCCAAACTCAGTTCTCCGCAGGTGGAGAGAGGAGGGGCTCACTGTAGGAACCTGGACTTTGGGAGACCTTGCCAGATAGCCATGACATGGGTGTGAGGTGTGAAACTCTCCCATGAGTAGCTAGAGGGAACACAGCAGGGGGTAGGGCAACCCCCCTCCTGCCGCACCCCTGCGGGGCCAGGGGCTTCCTCATTCCGAGAGCAGGTAGGTCCCTACCCCCGAGCTAATCCACTGACAAGGTGCCCTTTTCACCCCCACAAGGATTTCCCCTGCGCCATTTCCTTCTGGCCCGAAACGCTCAGCAGCTCTACACACTGGCGCGTAAAGAGAAACAAACTAAACCCTAAGATCCAGGCCAACTTCTTCTGTATTCAGGGTTGGTTCCAAGCCTGGGCTGATGGCTGGTGGCTCCGAGGGCTGTCACAAACTTCACTAGAAAGTTCTTGGATCATTTTCCTCAGCCCAGTTCAGTACTCGCCCTGAGTGGGCACAAGGCGCAGGGGCCACTGCATTAACAAGCTCAGGTTTCTGTATGCCAGCCTCGGCTCTTGGGGAATCCATCATAGAGAAAAGCAGACAGAGCCTGCCCTCGGGAGCTAGCTCCTGAAGAGAGAATGAGCGAGGAACATGGGGAACAGGGTAGATTTGTCACATGGGTGTACGCGGTGTGTGTGTGTGTGTGTGTGTGTGTGTGTGTGTGTGTGTGTGCAGGTTGCAGTACTAAATAACAAGTGAGAAGGTGGCAGGGACAGCTGCAGAAAGGTTTATGAGCACCAAAGAGCCACTGCGGCTGGAGTCACGGGGCGAAGACACGGGCGTGGGGACAGCGGAATGGCCGGGATGAGTAATAGAGATGTCATGGCTATCTGAGGCTTTCCTCTATCAGAATACAAATTGCAAGAGTGTCGGCAGCTTCATTTCATAAAACAGAATGAGCATTCCTCCCGGTGAGCTGCGCTGACAAATAAGAATACAGAACAGACAACACCAACAGAAAGACTGGGGCTGGATGAGGTTGCCTCCATCACGGCAAGAAAAAGGAAAAACAGAAACAAAAAGTGATTTAGTGACTTCAAAGCATACTTTCCTGGTATGGTGCAAACAGGGAAATAGACAATGAATCCCTGACTGGTTAATATCAAGTCTCATTTTTGTTGTTGTTTGGTAAGAGCCAAACAGAAGAAACTTAATCGCCTGTTCTCAAAATCTGCCATTGACTTCTTCTGATTTCTAAGGTCAGAATGTAGTTCCAGGGACGCGAGACTGAAGTGACTCCATTTGGCCACTTGGCCTCGCTCTGGAGCCTTGTCTAAGACAGTGACAATCCCCCGATGGCAAGCAAGCTCTGAGCAGTGATGGGCGCTATCTCGGGTTTTAGAAAGCCAGGCCGTGGGAACCTTGGCAGCTATGTTGAGAACAGTGTAAACACTAGGAGTTTTTGCCCAGCGTGTGACTTGGGATGGAGGAGAAGGAAGGGCCCGTGAAAGCTCTCTGTTTAGTGAAAGTAGAACGGAGAGCAATCCAACTTGACCGACATGAGCTGTCAGAGTGGAGTCAGGGAGACTCTCAGCCTGCACATCAGAGAGGAACCAGAGCCATCAGCACCAGTTAGGATGGGCTCTCCCACCCTCGGTCCCCCACAAAACCAGGACATATTGTGGGGGTGATTCTGATTTGGGACAAGGGCCTAACTGACCCAACAAAAAATGTCCCGGAAATGCAACGCCGTCTGTATGCTAGACATGAAGCTGACCCTTAGCTCCACAACTTAGCTCAACTCCACAGCTGAGCTGGTTGGTTTCTTGTGTAGCGACCTCCTCCTCCCAACTTGGTCTCAGAGTTGGGACTTGCATGGCACCTGAGAAAGGGACAAACTTTAGTTGCATGTGCACTTGTGTGCTCGTTGTGAATAGCGCCCTGAACGGACAGAAGGAAACGTTTATATAACAAACCTGGCAAAGGGTGCAGGGCCTTGGGCTGCAAGGGCAAAGTGTGAAAGCAGCTATGAGCTTTGCTATGCTCACGGGATGGACAGTCTGTCTCCACGGCAGACAGAGTAGCAGTGAAGTGTGCTAATCCTGGGTTCTGAAGGGGCTCTGTTTTAACCAGATAAATTAGGACATGATATTGCCCGGCCCCCGATATCTTCACTTAAAAAGAACAATCTTCATGCATGACTAGGGAGAGGGCTCATTGGGTGGAAAGCTTGTCTCTGAGATGAGGAGGTTTAAGTTTGCTCCCCAGAACCCACAGAAAAATGTCAGGTGTGGTGGTGTGTGCTTGCTATCCCAGAACTGAGGAGACCAAGACAAAGACAGAAGGATCCTTGGGACTGACTGGTCAGCCAGGCTAGCCTATTTGGTGAGCACCAGGCCAACAAGAGACCCTGTCTTAAAGGAAGTAGACAGTGCCCCTGAGGATGCCACCTGAGATGGTCTTCTGGCCTCCAAATGAATGTGCCTACATGTGCACATGAATCTACACACACATCTGTGCATATGTGTGTGCATGAGCATGTGGACACATACACACATTAAAAAAAAACCTCTTCCTGCCATCTGGAGGGGGGGTCTGCGAGGGTTCCACAAGTTCTGCGTGTTCTGTAAGGACAGATGGTGTGCAAGGAACATCTCTGGAAGTTGACACATGAGGATTGCAAATTCAAGACTGGTCTAGGCTAGCATGAGTTAAATGCCTGCCTGGAAAACTTAGTGAGACCTTGCTTTAAAGTAAACGTTGAAAACAGAGTTGGGAATACAGGTCAGTGGCAGAGAGCTCTTCTAGCATGCATGAGGCCTCTGGATCCATCGCCAAATCCACACAAAATAACAACAAACAAGCCCCTTCCATCAGTATTCCCCTTCCGGGTGCAAGTGTTTTCCTCACTGTCACTATGGCTGGCCCTGAGCCACACATAAATGGGACCGTGCACACACTTTCCGGTGCTTGACTTCTTTCATTTAACATTATGTCTGCAAGGCTCATCAGAGCTCTCGTGTATATCCGTGTTTTCTCCTTTGGATGGTGGGTGGCTCCCCATTAGAATAATCAACCACAATGGGTCTGGCCATTTTCTTCTCAATGGATGTTTGGGTTTGGGTTGACTCCAATGTTTCACTAGTCTGCATCAAGTTGTTACGTTATTGCGTGTTTTGAATATGTATTTCCGGGACTCCATAGGCCAACTTGTAACCCATGGGAAAAGGGACGGGCATACCCATCTGTCACCAGATAGATGCCTTTCAGACACATTTCCCAAGGCCTCTTAGAAGATCCCACAGGTGAAGTAACCAGTCAGCCATCCCAAGAGCTGACTGGAGGGCAGGTCTTTGTCCTGGCCCTCCCTTCTTTCCTGTTCCACTTCCCTTACCCTAATCCTATCGGGGTTATGTTCCTAAGTAAACTACTCAGAGAAATCAAGCCAACATAAAACCATTAGCCAAGAGCTGGGCTTTATGCCAACAGGGATCCTTGCTGCAATCAGTTACCCAGAGACCGTGTTCAGATCGGTAAAGGCCTAGAGCGAGGCGTGGGTGGGGAGAATGGGCGATTCTGTTCAGCTGCAACCAAGAGTGGGTGAAGGGGATTAGCAGGGATAAAGCTAGAACTGTGTGCTGAGCTGGGCTGTGGCAGGCCAAGCCCAGGACTTTCACCTTTGTTGTGTAGAGGGTGGAAGCCGCTGGCTGCCTCTGAACAGAAAACTGGCCTCACACCAGAGCTTTGGAGACGCAATCTGGTTGGAAGCTAGCCAGAGACCAGTGCCAGGCAAGAGTACCAGGAAGGAGCTGCTGACCTTAGACTGCAGCCATGGGACTA